TTAAAAATTATTATAATTAAAAATAATTAAGGTAAATATATTAAACAAATTTTGATTTTATGAAGATACACTGTTTTTGAATTTTTCTTCAATTTCACAGCGAAAATTCTCATAGAATTTAATATTTCTTTCAGTGATATCGTGCTCAAAGTTACAAGAAGAGGAACTAAACTTCTACTTACGTTTGGGAGGGCAGTTTGTCTAGCGCTGCTTGGATATCACCTGGCTTAACGAAGTCGAAGCCTTTGGTCTCGATTTCGCCGAATAAGGATGTTGATGTGACACCGGGACACATTACCAGAACACGAACTCCAGTGTTATTATAATTCTCCTGGACATGTACGAAGGAACGTATAAATCTTCAGCAAATTTTTCGAGTTAAATTAATTTTAATAATATTTGAATATTAGGTAACGAATATTAATTAAAATTATGTAACGAAAATACTTAGTATGATATTATATAGATGTAATATAAATTCAATTAATTTTCATATTAAAATTGTTATATCTAGTGTATCTATGTATATATAGATAGATAATTAATATTAATTAAAATCTTGTAACAAAAATAATTATTATGGTATTATATAAATATATTTCATATTAAAATTGTTATATCTAATGTATCTATATATATAGATAGATAGATAATTAATATTAATTAAAATCTTATAACGAAAATAATTAGTATATTATATAAATATAACAAATTCAATTAATTTTCATATTAAAATTGTTATATCCAGTGTATCTATATATTAGGTGAAGTAAAAAGAAATGCATTATTTTTGCATGAAATTGAATGCAAGAATAATGGATTTCTTTTTACTAGACCTAATATATAGATAGATAATTAATATTAATTAAAATCGTGCAACAAAAATAATTATCTGTATGTGAATAGAAGTCAAGATTAATTTCGTTAAAAGCAATTATACGTTCTCAGTAATCACGAAACGAATCACGTTAGTTTGAATGTTAGTTCATGGAATCTAAATTTTAATTTCCAAAATTTTGAAGAATAATAATTCGAAAGACTTTTGAAATAGTACCGAGATAACTTTGGAATTTATATTTAGTCTTCTTTTAATTTCAGGAAACCCATAAATTAAATTCGGCTATGGTCATAGCAATGATTCAGTCAGCCATCAGCATGGGCGAATCGATAAAGGTAAATTTGCTGAAATTTACCTGGAGACATCGACTGAACGCCAACACGTCGTGTTTGCTCGCACAGTAAACTGGGCAGACACTGAACAGACGCAGACCCACGATCGACGCTATGTTTACTATGGTGCCGCCTCTGCCACCTTTGTGTTTACCCATGTGCTCTATAGCGAGCAATGATCCCTGGATGACACCGGCCTGCAATTGAAATGAGTAATGAAATCAACGATGAATAATTTTCCCAATGAATACTCCAAGTGAGTATTGAAAAATGGCCACTGAAATTTTCCACAATAATTATAAATAATTCTGTGAGATATTTATTATTACAAAGTTATAATAATGCTTTAATAATTATTATTGAAACTTTATAATTTAAATCTTTATTACTATAAAGGTCTGGTAATGGTCAATATTATAAATTAAATCTCATTATCATAAATTTTCTATAATAATTTTGGGAGATATTTATCATTATAGAGTTATAATAATGTTTTAATAATTATTAAAACTTTGTAATTTAAATATTTATTACTATAAAGGTCTGGTAATGGTCAATATTATAAATTAAATCTCATTATCATAAATTTTCTATAATAATTTTGGGAGATATTTATCATTATAGAGTTATAATAATGTTTTAATAATTATTAAAACTTTGTAATTTAAATATTTATTACTATAAAGGTCTGGTAATGGTCAATATTATAAATTAAATCTTAGTATCATAAAATTATGATAACGCGTTAATAATTAACATTGTGGATCAGATTTTTATTATTATAAATTTATAATGTTAATAATTAGTATAATCAACTAGATAATTATTACTATAAATTTATAGTAACGTGTTAATAATCAATATAGTGAATTAGAACTTTATTATCATAAAAATTATGAATTTCACTGCATAATTTTTGTATCACCCTGTATATATTATTGTACATATACTGTTTGCTGTTTTTTAACACTGTTTACTCGTATTTTTCAACGAGTATCGATATTTTGCCTCGATTTTTGTTTACGCTTCCTTGACATACTAATAGATAATTGACATTAAACTCTCGAGTCGTGTGATATATTATACGTAATTGTAAAAATATACAGCCAATATTTCATTTCTAATATACAGAGATTTTAGTGATTTAATCTTTCACACTGGTGGATTTTTCCTATTTCATTCGTCAAATCCAGCGATTCCAACAGAATTTCGCATTGGAAAATTTGTTGACAGCGAAAATTTTGTTTCGAAAAATAGTTAAATTCTAAAAGAAAAATTGATTTTTACTTACAACGTTCACACGAAGAGTTAGCTCCCATTTCACGTCGTTCAAAATACCAGCATTATTGATAACAATATCCAAACCATTCCAAGCCTTCCAGATCTTCCTGAACAAGTCTGCAGAATTGAAATAATACTTTTGTGAATCACTTATTTCGATTCCATTATTTATTAAATTAACCATACGTGATATTAAATTCTTCAAATTATATCCAATTAATAAATCCATCGAGTATTAGTCGACTGCAAATTTTTCTCAAGAATCATTACCCCATTTTAACTGTTAAATTTTAATTAATTTAACTAATTATGAAAATTGCCTGAGTTAAAATTCTTCATTTACTATGCACTGCGTATATTTATTTGGCAAAAATATAAAACTATTTTTGCAAAGTAACAAAGAGAATAGTGACTTAATTAATTTCTTAATTCACTCAAACCTAAAATTCGTAATATCTCGAATCAAAACGTATGTGATTTACACAATTTTCATAGTTATCGGAATATTCATGGAATTGGATAGGTGAATGTTAAATTCGAAATAATACCTCCGAATTCTTCGGTCTTGGCAACGTCACAAGGGTAGAACACGGCTTTCCCTTTTCCAAATTCTCTTTCCAACGCAGCTACGGCAGTATGGCCGGGCGAAGAGCTCAAATCGAGAATGGCAACAGCCTAAAAATCCCACCATTAACTTCAGTAACTCGTAAACTAGTAACGAAAAATAATTGACACGACTTGTTCGTGAAAATTTACCTTCGCTCCATTTTGGAGCAGCCTTTGGACGTAAGTTAAGCCCAGCCCACTAGCGCCACCGGTGACCAAAGCGGTTTTGTTCTTTATGTTGTCCATAACCTAAAAACAAATTTATTTTCTGAATTTTCTTTTCATATATAAAAGAAAAATTATGAGAAAAGAATATCGTGATTCTCGTCGAGTAAATCTCACAAGAATTTATTTTCGTAAATAAAATTGATTATTTCTGTGGCTCAATTATTTGATTATTTTCAAATTTAGTATCTTTTTATTCTTTCTCGAGTTCTTCAGTGACCGTGTATAATAACTTCTTTTTTGGGAAAGATTTTCATACTAATTGAACTCTTGTGTTTTGATTTAAGGTGAACAGAATTGTTTCATTATTGAGAATAGTAAAAATAATATTGGGATTAATAGTGATTAAAATTTTGAAAGGAATATTATATTATCTGCTTGTTGTCAGTAATTAATCAATTTTCGTAACAAACAGTTAATTGTCAATGAAATTTATTTACTAACCAAAATTTTAATTTGAGATTCAGATGGAAAATTCGGCTATTATTATTATTCGGTAATTTGAATATTCTTTTTACGTAATAATCTCATTTAGTATATCTTATCAAATACTATCACACATTATCTAGAGACGTTCTATTTCCACAAAACCTGCACTATATAACATAAAATGTATTCAATAAACACACTATACAATATACACGATATAAATCACGAGATGCATAAAATTTGCAATAAAAAATTAATTTTGTTACACTTGAAACATTCGAAATAAAAATATTCGATTTGAAATATAATGAAATAATATCGATTTAAATTTTGGTTAAAAAATACTTCGTTTCCAATTATTTCCTAATTACTAATAATAATTAATCGATAACTTATTATTCCTAAAAAAAAGAAAAAAGAAAAAGAAAATATTTTCCTATTAAATTTAAAAAATCGTTCAATTCTGAACCCCACTTAGTATAAAAAATTCACTTAGTATTACCAGTTAAAGAATACTTCGTTTCTAATTATTTCCTAATTACTAATAATAATTAATTGATAACTTACTACTCCTAAAAAAAAGAAAAAAGAAAAAGAAAATATTTTCTTATTAAATTTCAAAAATCATTCAATTCTGAACCCCACTTAGATTTTTCCTATTAAATTTCAAAAATCATTCAATTCTGAACCCCACTTAGTATAAAAAATTCACTTAATATTGCCAGTTAAAAAATACTTCGTTTCCAATTATTTCCTAATTACTAATAATAATTAATTGATAACTTACTACTCCTAAAAAAAGAAAAAAGAAAAAGAAAATATTTTCCTATTAAATTTCAAAAATCGTTCAATTCTGAACCCCACTTAGTATAAAAAATTCACTTAGTATTACCA